TGCGATTTGGGAACTTAGAATTTGTTGGACATTACTAAGTGAAAGTATCACTATTTCCATCTAACTGTACGCAAAGGTCGGCAAAAATTTGGATAAGAATTACGCAGTCATATGTTTAGTTGAAAATTGAATTGTTCGAGCCAATTTTACAAACTTTGAATGGAGTTAAACGATCCTTCGTCTGAAAAACGATGGGCCCGGCAACAGATAGAGGGATCTCAACCCTTCAATCTTCAACTCTACAGCCATCAAAATGTGCTTTTTATAAATTGAAGGCTCGAGTCTAAACGTACCATACAGCGTTTACTATCAATTGCGTCATTCGATGTAAAATTGTATAGAAGTATATGATTTGTAACCGCAGTGGCGTGAGCGCGTGGCATGCTTTGCGATTTATCGATTAATATGGCATTCAAACCAATGAAAACGAATCGTTTATCACGGCGATGGTAAAGAACACCATAAGATTCGATTCTTTACCACTGCTTCAATTGGGGAAATGTCACTAATCGATTATCACGCATCGCCACTATTTGTTACTCTATGCGGATAACGTTTTAAAACTTAACTCAGGCTTAAGTCAGTCGATTTGCGGATTACTTTTGCACCTATAAACGAATGAAGCTTAATTGGACTGCATTTTGCAATTTGGAACCATAAATTCTGGCTCATCTAAAAAAACACTCTTGTGCATAGGGAAACTTATAGCACAAACGTTGTTTTTAAAGCGGGCCAGAATTTAAAGTTTCACTTTGCAAAATGCAGTCCATTTTATATTCATGTTGATAACCTAGCGGATGTTGCAAAGTGCGTACGATTACAAGAGAGAAAGAAAGTTCCTCCGATATTGCGTGATTTATCGGCTTATTGATCTCAGCGGCGAGAAAATTTATGACATTTTTATGGGCGAAGAGACTCCCTCGACTCTCCTCCTCTCAAGAAGAGAGGCCAAACTACGCAGTACCTTTCGATGCTCGAACACGATTTTAATGGCAATTTATTGAAGTAATCTTGAGTTCAAACTCTGAGAGCAGAAAATGAAATACCCTGGAAAAATATCATCGACTCACACTGAAACTTACAGTTAGCATGATTAAGGTTGAGGAATACACTAAAATATTTTCCAGGTAATGTATTTCCAAAGATTCTCAGATATTCCCGAAAATTATATATGTATGATTACGTCTGTGAATATTCTCCTATGAAAATAGATCGGATCGGAAATCTGAATGCGTCGCAATCGATTTATACATACGTGTTCTACTAGTCTGGTCGTCCTCACAGAAGGAATCCTACTTACGGAAGAAACTAGATTCCGAGAAATCAGCAATCCTCGATAGGTTAGCAGAGACAATTATTATTTTTAGAGGCAGAGTCCATCCAGCGACGGACCAGGAGCACTTTTGAAAATGCCAAACGTCTTGTCAAGCATATTTTTCCAGGTTAATATGCATGACGGCATCTTCCACTTCAATGGTATATTCTCAGACGGGCCCTACGAGCTATTCAAAACCGTACGTTTGAGATAATTTATTCAAAAAAGACTTCTAAATGTAACACCCAGTAATCATTTTGTCTACAAAAAGCAGGATTTGTTTAATTTTTTATGCGCCCTTGATAAACAATCACGCCAAGTTGAATTCAAACTTCTGCATGATATTTTTACAACACAAGCTCGAAATATATGCGTTATTTGTTTAGACAAGGTATCGCCCCGGGCTCTTCATATATGGACGGATTTAACCGAATTAGCCTGACAGCAATTCACGTTGCCTAGTTTCATTTCATGTTTTATATTTTCAACAAAAAAGTAAGCATCATTTTGAATTGAGATTTTGTCAGTATATTTAACAAGCCAGGAGAACTATACGAAAAGTTTCAAGGCATTATGTTGTCTGGTTCACAAGATAACTTCGAAATGGAGAGTTCCAGTCCAGGTGCTATAGAGTCGGTGAGCAGTACTGATATCTCAGATATCGATTGCCGAAGTGCGAAACCACGTAAATCTATTGTGATGTTTCAAAATTTCCGCTCTTCTTTTTATTTTTTCCAGGAAAAGAGCAAAATTTTTAGCTTAAGATTTTTACGGAATATTCTGCTAAATACCGATGAAAAAAATCGAGGAGCTTTCCAAGCAATTATGTTGGCTAGTTTCCCAAAGAAAAAATAAAGTATGACAGGAAGTCTACGACGTCTCAAACGGATGTACGTGGTTTGCCATTTTGGCCACCGGTATGTAAAACTGCGCAGTCACAGGTCTTTGGCTCTTTGTTACCGAAGTAGTTAGCCGACAACATGATCAAATTTTAAGGACAGAAATTCGAGGATAACGCGCAATGCGCGAAGTATTCCGGCAGTCTTGCAGGCGCTAATATACGTTGAGCACGCACCGGTCGCACCGTAGTGTAAGTGCAACGCGTGAAGTATTCTTGCTGTCTTGTAGGAGCTAATATGCGTTCTGCTCCGGCCGGCCGTCCTGATTTGGGCACGATTATTCAAACTTGCGCAGTTAGCGTTCATCAACTTATGGTTTGGACGTATTTCTATCAAACGGACCTAAGCGCCATAGGGTGAGGAAGGTTAAGGGGGGCTTGGATTGGCGGCGGAATCGGGCGTCCGGCTTATTCCGTCCTATACTCGCAATGCTTTTCCATATCGCTTAGGTCTGTTTGACAGAACGCGCTATCCGGGATTCTGAATTCCTCAAAAGGAACTCAAATTGGCGCTTAGTTCCGTTTGATAGAAATACGTCCATATGCAAACCAACTAAGGGATCTACTTGTGCAAAGGCTCAAATTCAAACAGAAAATTTCACAGAGACCACAATTTACGATGAAATTCTTTGAATTTTTCCGCACTTCTCGAATCAGTGTTACGTATACCAAAGGATTGAAATTTAAACGCCTCCACAGTCTCCAGGAGGAAATCACATTTAGTATTTTTTCTATGAATCGATTAATTGAGACCCTAATTTTGAAAAAAAATGTCCATTGATTCATTTTTTTTTTGGTGAAAAATGTAGGCACGGAATTCAAGTCCACTTACCGCGAAATCCTCTTTATTATATCATATTACTTGGGATCAATTTCATGCACGGAAGGACCGAATCGTTAACGCTGCGAAAGGGAACATTCAGCACTTCTGGACACCTACACCGATAAATGTAGCCACCAAATTTTTTGGAAAAATTTTCGTAAATTTTATGAGAAGATTTAAACACAGATATCACCAACAATAAGGGTCTCGGTCAATCTCAATCCTTCCATCGCTTTCGACGTATATCACGTGACCGCGGCCCGAATCGCATGCGCCACTGAAGAAAAACATCTTTTAGCTTTTTTCGACACCCACACGAAAAAATTTAGCGACCAAATTTCTCAAAAAAATTACCCAAAGGGATCATAAAAAGTCACGATTTTCCGTCAATTCCTTCGAGATTTAACGTATACTGCTGAGCTAGGGAAAAACGCCATATGAACATTAGAGAGTTGTCAAATTTCCCTTGATAAAACATGTATTTTTGACGATATTTATACAAATTTTTTTTAAAATTTTCAGATATTTTAGATTAAATTGCGTAAAAAATAGTCAGAAAATTTTAGGGGGAAATATTCACAATTTTCCCAGTAAATTAGGTTTTTATCGAAGGAAACTTGGCTATGTCTGAAGGCTTATACGGTGTTCTTCCTTTGCATGACAGTATAGCCTCGGGTAAACGTCAAGCACTGAGGACTCAAGTCGCAAACGCTACAAACGACGAGCAACTTTGAAAATTTTTCGACACTCACATCGAAACATTTAACCACTTTTCTCAATATTTTAACACAGATCAACGGAGGAATCGATTTTCCGTAGAGCCCTCCAAACCTATGCGTATTTCTTCAGGGTAAGCGACACTGAAGAGAAACGACGTTCAGCACTTTTCGACTCCCAAGTCGAAAAATTTAGCCACTAGGTTTCCCAAACAATTTAGCTACTAAATTTCTCCAAAAAATTTAGACTCCGAGATCAACGATGGGGGCGATAGGATCGAAAATCGGGGCGATTTTCCGTAAAAGCCTCCAGACCTTGATCGCTTCAGATACAGGTCACGCACCAGTGAGGGTCCGAATAGCAAGTGCCACTGAAGAGAAACAACTTTTAACACTTTTCGACATCCACATCGAAAAATTTAGCCACAGAGATCAACAAATGCCTCCAAACTTAAACGTGTATCCGTCACGCACTGAGGTCCAAAATTGCAAACGCTACGGACGACGAACAACTTAGGAAACTTTTCGACAACCATGTCGAAAAATTCAGCCACAAGTTTTGCAAAAAATCCAGCGCCCTTTCTTTGAAAAAATTTTGACACAGAAATCGGCGAAAGCCCAATTTTCCGTCAAATTCTCCGAACTGTGAAGTATCGCCTCAGGCACATACCACGTAACACAGGACCGAATTGCGAACACAACTTTGAAAACTTGTCGACACCCACACCGACACAATTCAACTTTTTGGAGGAAAATTTAGCGGCCAAATTTCTTAAAAAATTTGGACACAGAGATCAAAGAAAGCCCGATTTTCCGTCAAATTCTCCGAACTTTGAAATATTGCCTCACTACCGAATTGCGAACACAACTTTGAAAACTTGTCGACAACCACACTGATACAATTCAACTTTTTGGAGGAAAATTTAGCGGCCAAACTTCTTAAAAAATTTAGACACAGAGATCAACGAAAGCCCGATTTTCCGTCAAATTCCCCGAACTTTGAGGTATCGCCCCAGGACCGAATTGCGAACACAACTTTGAAAACTTCTCGACACCGACACTGATAAAATTCAACTTTTTAGAGGAAAATTTAGCGGCCAAATTTTTCAAAAAATTTAGACACAGAGATCAATGAAAACCCGATTTTCCCGAACTTTGAGGTATCGCCCCAGGACGGAAATGCGAAGACAACTTTGAAAACTTCTGGACACCGACACCGATAAAATGTCAACTTTTTGGAGGACTTACCGTGAAAATCACTCGGGTAAGGTTCATGTCTAATCGGGATGGCGTGTGGACCTATGCTCTACGATCGTGGTGCGGAGGTGCGCGACGTTTGATGGTCTGGGTAGAAAGCAAGTCTTCTGCCGGGGAATTGCGTCATGTCCCTCAGACTGGGACGCAACTAGGACGGACGGGGCAAGAGGTGGTCCTCACGAGGGTCAAGTTGCGCCACCGGCAGCCGCGGCTCAGCTTCGACACAGTGCCCGATCCCCGGTCGCCGTGCCCCAACCCAATTCGACGGCCACTCGCCAGCGCCAAGTCAACTATGAGTAATTATTCACGACTCGGCTTGTGAGTCGAGTGCCGGCGTCGCGACGACTGTTTGTTTTGCTCATTCCGCGCCCAGCCGGGAGTGGTGGATCGTCGCCGCGCTAAACCGCGCCGCGATGCCGCCGTGCCGATCTATGGATCGTTTTCGATGGTGGTTCGATGTATCGTTGGCTTCAAAACAATAGAACATAACCTCAAACGAAAATGTTCGGATATTTGTCAGAAAAGCTAAATATGAGAAATTTCGTAGCAATATCACTACTTTTGTCCAATTAGTACTCATGACGAATCTAAAATCTGTCACAAAAAATTCCGTCAGATTACTCGATTGACTTTTGAGGCTATGTTTATGTTTTGAACCAATCGATATCGATACAATCTCACCCGTTTGATGTATCGAAAACGATATATTCGGCGCGCTGAAAGGAAGAACGTCGTATGCTGCCGTGCTATGGAAGCGTGCTGAAATCAGTGCTGAGCCAATCAGAGGTGGTAACTGCAGTGGCCATACTCTCTCAATATAGGTACTCTAATAGAAGCTATTGGAAATCTTACAGTCGGCTGTAGGTCTATGGTATTTTGGAACACACTATTTGGGATTCTACTGCCAATTTTTACCAGGGTATTGTCTTCGAGCCCATCGTAGATAGGAGAAGATGATTAAGTGGGAAAGCCCATCGCACTCAAGAATTTCCTCAGAGACGTTTTCACGTATACAACGAAATAATGAGCCACGACTTTATAGTCGACAACGTGACTCGTGCAATTTTCAGCGTCATCAGCGAAGTGGGACCTTGTCTATTACCGGCTTTCATTCATTATCGGTGGACCAAAATGGCTCAAATCAGTCATGACACCAAGTTTGCATCCAGTATTGGCTGAGGTATCGCTCGTAGAATGTAGAGGAAGAGAAAGAAGACGAAAGAACAGGATAAAAAACGAAGAAAATCAAATTCTTCTTAAAATTCCTTGTAGCCATTGATTTTCCCTCTACTTATTATTCTTCTTTTCCTTCTTCTCTTTCCCTTCTTCTTCTTATTCTTATTCTTCTTCTTCTGTTCCTTCTTCTGCCTCTTCCTCTCCTCCTTCTTCTCCTTCTCCTTCTCTTTCTCATTCTTACAATTTTTATGTGCCTTCTTCTTCTTCCTCATCTTCCACTAGACGCTAATTTATTTTCAGTGGCCTCAATGGAAATCGCCTTCAAAATGTCGAGTATGCACCCCCTTGACGGCCGAGTTCGAATAGTTATCTCACAGAATGAGGGGCACTTTGACGATTTGACGTGAAAGGAACGCCTACAATCAAAATCGAAACAATGAATATTACATGAAATATAAATTTACTCTGTCTTTGGTTCTTGGTACTAAATTGTGTACCAATTATTATTTTTTTTAAAAATCTCGAAGATATGACATTCAATCAACTAATTACAGTAAATAGCTGGGGTGAGAATCATTCTTCAATCCGTTCAAGTATTTTGTAACGCATTCATGCCGACTTTCTACCCTGTCGTAATAAAATCTATATTTTGAATTTCGTACCCTGCCCCCCCCCCCCCCCCNAACACTCATGAATATCTCAGAAAAATTCGGAGATAGTCTGAAGAATTGCTGACACAATTTATTTTCCTAAAAAATCTCGTAATTTTGCCTCCTCTTCCTCTGAGAGGGAGCCTTACACGAGGAGGGCGTGGCACCCCTCCCACTCCTCCTGTCGTAGGACCCGGTAAGGGAAGTCCAGATCCTCTCCCCGTCCCCTTAAATGACTTACGTAATAGTTAAATGGCCCCTGAATGAGCGCATCATTAGAGACTTAAACGCAGAGATAGAAAAGTAGACGAAAACGAGTTTTTCCATCTCTCGTTACACGATGATCATCAAGTGCACGCAATACTGGACCGACAAAATGTGGTAAAGCGCACATCAATATCATTAATAGCATAACACTGATAGCACATGTTCGTTGTCTCCAAAATGAGCCTGAAATATTAGTTCCTAATTGCAAAGTGTAGTCCGTTCGTCCATCATACCCACTCAAAATTTTCGGAGATCATACAGTGAAAAAGAAGGGTAAAATCCCCGAACATTTTCAAGAGTTAGTGCAATTAGCTTCGGAGCGGAAATTTTTCGCAATCCCAATACTTATCTCGCACTTACAGCCATCATAATGAGCCTATCTGATCCTCGGGTTTCGAGTCTGGTAATTGGACGTATTTCTGCCAAACGGAACTAAGTGCATTATGACGTGAGCCCTGTTATGCACATATGCTTATGGGTTTCAGGGCTCACGTCTTAATGCACATAGTTCCGTTTGACAGAAATACGTCCAATTGAGAATCGTCACGAGTGAGAATACTCCCGTGCTAAGGAAAAACGCCGTATGAACCAGAACTTCCAGGCGTTGCCAATTTTTTTTGATAAAACAAGAATTCCCTGTTAATCTTATGAATATTCTCCAGAGAATTTTGTTCGTATTTTGTTTTAAAGTTCCTGAAAATTTCAAGGGAAAATATTCATAACTATCCTCAAAAATACAGATTCTATCCGGGGAAATTTGGCAACTCTTGAATGTTCATACGGCTTTATTCCTTAGCATGGCAGAATCGAAGACAACTTTCTTGACAAAGGAAGTTGGACTTGAGGCAGAGTTTATGTTCGGCTTCACCGCGTAGTAAAAATACACCACAACACTGCGTTCTGCTAAGGAAGACCACCGTATGACGTTGCCAGCTTTAGTCGGATAATATACGAATTCTCTGGAGGACCTATTGGACCGAGTTTAACAGAAAGGAATCAAGCCACATCAGCTATTGCCAAATTTAACAGGGCAATTTAATTTTTTACGAGAGATCGTTAGTGCGGATTTCTTTGAAATTTTTAAAGAATTTGCTTCAAACAATGGAGAATTTTCACTGAAATTTGTACGAAAATCCGCACAACCGTTTTCATGAAAAAAATTAACTTGCCCGATTAAATTTGGCAATAGCTGATGTGGCTTGGTTCCTTTCTGTTTAACGCGGTCCTATTATTGTTTCTCTTTGAATTTTTACGGAGGATGTTATTCGCAATTGAATAGACGGATCCAACCGGATCAGCTTAACTGCATTCCACGTTGCCTGATTTTCTATTGTGTTTTATTTTTAATTCCAGCTTGATTCTCTTTTTTTATTAAAGGATGGACTTCAGAAGGATGAAATTTGAAAGGATGGATAAAGTATCGTCGGCACGACAAGACACTTCACTCACAGAGCACCGACCTATTCGGTCGACAAACATGCACAAATTTTCAACAATCAGACGTTAGCATATAAATTGGATTACATTTTGCAATAAGGAACCATTATTTCTCGCTTTTCCATTAAAAGCACGTATCTGCATAAGGAAATCAATGGTATACATATGTTGTTTCTAAAATGAGCCAGGAATAGTGGTGCCTTGTTGCAAAATGTAATCCAATTGTATCATGGTCAATTTGGCAACGTTTGAATGCTCATGCATAGCTCGATCCAAATGTAGCATTTCTATTTTCCTACCCGTTTGGATGTTGTTTCCGGATGGATTTAGAGCGAGTTTGCGGATTGATCATCGTTCTGTGGTGTAATTTGGCTTGTTTTATATTTTTCTGTTCTATTTTAGCGGTGCAACAGAGGTAAACAGAGGTAGGAGAGTGGCTTAAGTGGAAGCCGAGCTTGCGGCGAAGGTGTTGCGCCATTCGGAGTGGCTCATGCGAGAAAGAGGGCGCAGTGAATATTACGTGCGCAAGCACACGTAGCGAGGAGAGACCTGCGCTTAGAACCACTTTCGGAGGTTTCGAGAAAAGTTCATCAAAAGATCCAAATCAGACGCATAATTTGGCAACGCCGTCGGAATATGTCGATGGCTGTAGTGCGAAACCACGTGTCGTCACCTTCCGGCAGGGTTGCAATTTTTCATGAAAAATAAAATTTTGAAATTTCAGAAATTTCTGAAAAATATTGGAAAATACCGGTTCCTTTTCATGTTTCGCAAAATGTAAAAATTGCGAATTTCTCCTATTTTTCTGTATTTGAGCGCGAGTTGCATACTCTAACCCCTGGAAAATATGAAATATTTCACAGCCTCGAGAAATTTCATGAAAGATTTTAAGGAAATTTCCAATTTTTCATATTTTTCATTGTACGCGTGCAACCCTGCCTTCCGGCCGAAGTACGTATCACACGCGCCTTGCGACGCGACGTTTCAAAATTTCCGTCGCCATTTTATTATTTTACAGTGAAATTGTTGGTTGAATCTGTTTTTGAAAATGTCACTGAATTTTATCGGCAGCTCAAGGAAAATTCAGTTGTATTTTCTGACAGCTCCGTGGAACAATTTCTCTGAAAAAAAATAAAATGGTAGCGGAAATTTTGAAACATCGCGTGGCGCTTGTGGTACTTTGGCTGGAAGGTGACGGTATGTCCATTGCGCGGTTTCAAAATGTCCACTCTTATTCTATTTTTTGAGTGACAAGCCAACTTTATAGCTTGAAATTTCAATGGCGTGTCGTGCTTCGCGATATATAGATTGATCTGCCATTTAAACCTACGGAAAAGGATCGATAAACAGGGTGTTCGCAACGGACACCTTACTAATAGATTCTTCGCCATAGCTTCAAATGATGAAATATAAAAAATCTATTTTTCAAGCCTCTCCACAGCTTGAAATTTGAACAGGATATGCTGCTGACAGAAAAGGAGAAAGTTTTCAAAAAATTACGATGATTACCTCTCCACAAGAAATAATAAAATATGATAGGAAGTCTGCAACGTTGTGAATGGAGATACGTACTTTTGCACCGTAACTATTGATGTAGCGGAGTCAGGTAAAATGTGCCTTATAGGGTAGGGATAAAAAAGTGTAATGACTTTACCGCATCTCTCACACATAGAGTAGGTTAATTTTGTATCATTTGCCGCGAAGAGTGGCAAAAGGTGCCAAAAATTGACCTTTCGGCAGCGATTCAGATTTTGAGGACGAAAATTGGGCAATTCAGTAAAATGCTGTTGAAGTTTGCCTGCG